TTCCCATGTTGTGGGAACAGATTATTTCAGGTAACTAATACTTTCAGGTAACTTTGGCAAAAAAAAGAGCAGATGTTTCCAAATTGTCAAGGAGTTGTGTGATGATTGAACCTAAATGTGAAGATGATTCAATAATCACCAAAACATTACTGAGTGTGAACTTCAGGCTGAAATCTTGTTCCACGTTCTTTGATGTTTAAGCTTTTTTTTCTCCTTAAGAGAAATAAGAGAAAAAACAGACATTAAATGCCAAAAAATAGCAGCTAGAAATATCTGTTCTTCAATAGTGTCATATTTTTCATTTGAACGAGATTTAGCAGAATCCTTCTGTATTAGCAATAAAAATTATAAATACGCATGTGTTGGTGGCTGACTCATATTTGTCAGGATAAAGTGAACATGACCAAAGTTGTAGATTCTCTCGGCGATTAAAAAAAAACAAACCCAAAAAAAAAAACAGGAAGGGCATGTATAACCCCCCCCCCCACACACACACACACACACAAGACCAGGTTTTTGTTGTTGTTGAGGTTTTCATTTATTTATTTACCAGCAGCTGTCCATTAAAATGAAAGTTACAACCGAGACACGATTACGTGGACTCGTTTTACCGAGAAATCTATGAGAAGAGCCGTGAAGACGGTCGGACCCGGTCGGACCGCCTCTCTGGTTGCAGTGCGCCCTCCAGACACACGGGACCAGCGGTCATGCGGGAGCTGCGGGAGCTCAGCTTCATTAAACGTCCCGGTCAGTGCGCGTCGAGCGGTCTGATCATATGACCGAAGGCAACAGGCTGGACACGCGCAGAACTCTCCAAACTGTTGTGAAGTGAAACAGACACAGACCGGAAAAGGTACAAGTTCATGACGTGTTTTCAAAATAAGATGAATTCGTTCGTCTCTGGCGTCTTCAAAACCTGCTAGTGCTTTTATTGTGAAACGCCAAACAGGAAGTGTCTATGATAGAAGAGCGCGTGTGTTCGCTGTCACGTGACGCTGAATGAACCGTAATGTATAGCTGTGATGATCGTGCCCATCGGTAACACCGGCCGGTGCTGTCCAACATTTTATCCATAAATGTAGGCGCTCTGTTCACTGCTACGTAGCGTTAACCCGCTGCTTGCGTTCAAAGTTAGTTTTTATTCATCTCTTAAACTCGTGACTGTTTGGTTTTGAGATGTAGCTAACGAAGCGGTTGATAATCTGCACGCGCCGCTGCCACCAGTTGTTGTTGTGGGAAGGGACGGATTGAAGAGCAGGGTATTCCGTCCCGCTGGATTAGTTTGATAAACTTTATCATAAAGTTGTGAGGAGCCCCGGACAGGTCTGAGGATGACGGAGCGGACTCCTCTCCTCCACTACCGCCTCGTCAGCAGCGTCAGTGACCCGGAGCAGCCGGCTCCTCCGGCCCGGGCTGCCCCGGAGCGGCTCCCGGGCAGCCCGGGCCAGCAGAGGTCCACCCAGCGGCGGCAACAACCCCCGAAGCTCTCCATCTTCTTCGGCGTGGTCATCCCGACCCTGCTGTCCATGTTCAGCGTGGTAGTCTTCCTCAGGATAGGTGAGTGTGCTGACGTCACTGCGCGCGTTTTCAAGCAGGTGCATAGATGATGTGCTCGTTAGTGAG